CTATATGTTGCTTCAAATGTTGTTATATAAGTGTGCTTTAAGAAACTTTTGAAATCCGAGAACCTTTTTATTTTGTGTTTTTGACAATTTTCAAGTGTAAATAATTTAATTAAATCAACCTGTCCATAATATCATATTTATTGTATTGGACGTTAAATCTGTAATAAACCACAACAATTGTTATATTGTATTAGCTTGAAAACGTTGAGGGAATACTCTTCGAAACGTCGCCTAAATAAATCAGTAGCTGTTTGCCAATAAGTATGTGTTATAGTTTATTTAGATATTTATCATGAATATTACCACGCCCCGACAGAAACATTCTATTAATGAAACTATATATTAACCTATACCAACGATAGTTACATTCTATTAATGAAACTATACATTTTATGAAACTGAATATTCACCACGAATACTCATAGATATATTCTTATAAAACTACATATTTATCATGAATATTACCACACCCCGACAGATACATTCTATTCATGAAACTGCATATTCATCACAAATATTAAAATACACCAATAGATACATTCGTATGAAACCACATATTCATCACAAATATTAAATTATATCAATAGATACATTCTCAAACTATATATTAACCTATACCAACGATAGATAGATACATATAGATATATTCTCAAACTACATATTAGCCTACTATATGTATGTATGTATATATATATACCAATGATAGATACATACAAAATATTAACGAAACTACATATACATCACGAATATTTGTAAACAAACTCCAAGAGAAACTATATAATTATCAGGAAATTAAACAATATTCAGATAAATAAAATACGAATTAATCTTTAATTTAAAAAAAAAAATAATAAAATCCATTTGAATGTTTTAAATCTAAAACACACGTGTCGAATTTACTTTTTAAGATTGAGACTGGTTTTAAACAATATCTATATTTAATATCCCTGGCTATTGTTTTAACAGGACATGTTCTTAATTCCAAATACATTTCGTAACAAATACGCACAGAAGAATAACAACACAAAACCTCTTCAAACAATAGTCAGGGGAGAAGAGCGAATGTCGAACCATTACCTACGGGAATAGCTACAAAAGCCTCCATAAAATCAAAACACATGAAGACATTCGAGAGAACCCGAGTAATTTCCGAATTCTCAGACTAAAAACCAAAGTGAAGAGAAACACACGCCCATTATAAATTGCAGTAGCATTTCTAACTCTCAAGCAACGATTTAAGAACACACTTTGCCATTTGTGTGGGGAGAAAAATGCTTGTTTTCCAAGGAAACATAGAGATATTTGGGTTCGTACGAGCGACCTAACAATTGTTTTTGGCTGTTGAAAGCGAGGTTTAGCGTGTTTCGTGAATCTGTAATGGCTACCAGCTGACTCGGATATCGTCTGCATGAAAGCGACTCGGTCACTATGTTAGAGATTTATTTCTTCTCGTCGTTACACAAATAACAAACTTTGCCTAACTGCACAATACATATTCAACGATAGACAGCATCTCTTGAGATGATAAAGTTATTGAAATTGAAAGTAGCCAGTCGTCATTAACCAACGATAAACATTATCGTGATCATCGTTGGCTCAATTTAAACAATGATTAGGCCTACATTCAAAACAGGCATCAACTATATAAGACAATAATACAATTCAAAAAGCAGAAGTAACAAGTTGAATTAAATCAACACCAAGGCCTAGTTTGTATTGTAGCCTACTAGGCCGCGAGACAAAAACATACTTCTTATCTACATATGCTTTTGAATGGCAGTTTTTTCCAATTGTTTTCTATGGGCGCTGATTCAATTAAAAATGTCCAATACAGAAACGCAGGAGAAGAGTTCTGCTCAAAATTATCAAGTCAACCAAATCACTGAACTAAGAACAACAAAAACTACTGTCTGAATCGAAGAACAAAAGCAACAGAGACAACAGTTTTAAGTGAGCCATCGTTGTCATCGCCATACCAAACTTCTAACTGTGGAAAATGTATTTATATACAAGAAAAAGATCAGTTATAAACTTACCTGCTTCCAAATGAAGTTCGACATAAAACAGGCCACAAATACAGTAAATAATCAGACCTGTTATATTATGAAGTTCGAACAGTCGGCCACTTGATCTCCTCGTCGGTTATTAAAGCTCCTACACCAGTACTAGAGTGAGGAATTACTGAGCTAACAGTGTACAGCAGGCAATACACTGCTCGCCCAACCGGAAACAGCTTACAACGCGCGGCGCTTTCTAGCAGACGACAAAACTATTTCTGGCGATAAACATTTTCGATAGGAGAGAGAGAGAGAAATAGGGTTTAACGTCCACACGAAACAAACTAGGTCATTTCGGGACTAACATATGATTTAATTCTATTTCCATAATTCGTTTGCGCGTAGGGGTCTTTAGCAGTGGGAGGAAGCCGGAGGACCCGGAGAAAACCCAAGAGGTTGGATAGGCGACATTTTCGATAGGATAAAGCTTCTCGGCCGACTGACAAAATGAAAATGAAATAAAATGGTGTTTAGCGTCTTCCTCTTCTGCTCCATTCAGAATAATAAAGACGAGGGGTTATTTTACCTACACGGAACTTCGTTTTCTGTCCTGTCCGAACGACTAGACGTTGCACCACTGACAGAGGGGAAACCACGGCGGATATATCCTGGGGTACTCCTCGGCCAACACCGTGATTGAACTGAGGACCTCCAGGTTATTAGCGAGTCAGCAACTTACTCTCGGCTGAAAAAAAGTATAGCAAATATAATTATAAATATAGCTATTTTTAATATAGCTATTTAACCATTCGCGCCCCACCTCACCCGAACAGTACCTCATAGCAAACTTCGTGGCGAATATCTGTTTTCAACTGCCCGGCCAGCGAAGAAAAGTTAGGCATTTTTATCAAACCATTTAAAGATATCAACCCTATTATTTCCCTTTACAAATGCCGTAGGTACGTGGCTGGTCGCCATAAAGCATGGTGGCGAATATCAGTCATCAGTTTCCCGGTCAGTGAAGAAAGGTTAGACGTTAAACCCCATTTCATTTCGTTTTTATTTCATTAAAAAGCTATCAGATTTTTATCAAACCCTTAAAGATATCAACCCTATTATTTCGCGAAACAAATGCCATGGGTACGTGGCTGACCGCCATTAAGCTGATAAGAGGTTTCACTACGGTAAAATGTTAAGATTAAGAAGTCAGTGAGGTCTAACAGTATAAATCTTACCGTATAGTGTAAAATATCTACAACACAATCAGCGACTCTACTTAATCTCTGGACGATTAGATAACAAACCTACTTAAATTACAAACAAATTATATAACTATCGATACTTGAACAACCAGTCATATATAAACAAACACGACATTTTCTTCTGTCTTGTCTGCGATATCACCTCCGTGAAAGCGGGCGTTAAATAAAGCTATTTCACACTTTTTTGTTCTGATTGAATTGTTTTAAATAGTGAAATAAAATGGCGTTTAACGTCCTACTCCGTTTGTCCTAGTACACAGGGGACCTCAGTTTTTCGTCCCATCCGAACGACTAGACAGCTGTCCTTATCAGGCTCTCCGTCCTGCACCACTGACAACGGGAAATCACGTCGGAAAAACCCGATGAACTTTCTCGGCCTCCAGGCTAGCGAGCCAGCGCCTTACCCACTTAGCCACCGTGCATCCCGTTTTAAGTAATAATTTTATGGTCTCCTACATAACCTCGTGGTTTACTCCCAACCCTCCGGTTTCAAATAATTGCAATTATTAGTGTTCGGTGGACGTTAAACACCCCTCTTTGCGTTGGTACCCCTACTGCTAAAAACCAATATAAAATTGTATCCTAAGCTAGTTCCCAAATGACCTTGTTTGTGTGTAATGAACGTTAAATCTCTCTCTCTCTCTCTCTCTCTCTCTCTCACACACACACACACACCCACACACACACAAGAAAAAATGGTAAAAGTTTATAAAATTTTCCCCTATACTGGCCTCAATTTCCTTTCTCTGAAATGAAAAGGAGGTTTAACGTCCTACGGTTCTGCTCCGACTGGACTGATGAAGATGGGCATCGCCATACAGTGTACTTTGAGGGAAATTTTGCCCGGACAGCGACGCTATGGTTGACTTATATTTCGACATCCAGCTGTCATGGGGTTCTTGTTCGTAAAATTCAACCTACTATATACACTGCTCCCTACCTGGCTCCCCGCCCTGCACCACTGTCAAGGGGACGCCATATTGGAAAATCCCGAGTTCGGCAAAATTCTCCTCCCTGACATAATACGGTATGCGACAAAACCAAAATCACCAATAATCACAAAAAGTAAAATCTGATCTTAGTAAATTATCTCAAAAATGGGCTAATGTAATATGCCAACAAGTTTTTTTTTAAGCTGTTGATTATACCGGTAATTGTTTTATAATAGGCCTACCTGAGAAAAAAAAATTGTTACATATTGTCTTTTTTATCACATATTTGTGGGAGTTAACATATATCAGTTCGCGGGAGAAAATATCAAAAATAATGATCCATTTTGGCGGGAAAAAATTTGAAAGCCAGTGTTAGCCCTGTTGGTATTACACATGTGATCATAAAATTAATCGAATGTTTGTCTCAAAAGTATCGTGTTGAGGAGACGTTAAACCCCATTCCTGTCTACTTAAACTTTAAGATACTCTGATAAAAACATATGGTCGGATCACAGGGTATCGTTAATGTCTAATGTAAAATGTCGATTTCCAGATGTTTGATATGGTATTAATTAGTATTGAGTAATCACTGACCAGTCTAGATTATCATATGTTAGATATTACACGTGTATGTACTTATATGGTCAAGTAGGAGGGGAGTGTGTAGACCACATCAAACAGAGGTTATTGATACCGCAAACCATCGGGGTCCAGTTTAGATTCATATATAAATGATCACATTCTTCAAATCATTAGTTCGAGCATCTCTACTGTAGCAGTTCACATCCTAGGAAACCAGCTGATTCAAAATGTCTTCCCTATCTAAAGATACCATTGAAGAGATCCGTGAAGTTTTCGATTTGTTTGATTTCTGGGATGGACGTGACGGTGCTGTCGATGCCTTCAAAACTGGTGATTTGCTGAGATGTTTGGGTTTCAATCCTACACAAAGTTTCATCGAGAAACACGGAGGAACCAAGGCTATGGGTGAGAAAAATTATAAATTTGAAGAAATTTTACCCATCTACGAAGTTGTGTCAGGTTTAAAAGATACCGGTACTTTTGCTGACTTTAAAGAAGCTTTCAAAACCTTCGATCGTGAAGGTCAAGGATTCATCTCATCTGCTGAAGTGCGACAAGTTCTGGTTTCCCTTGGCGACAGAATGACAGACGAAGAAGTTGATGAAATCATCAAATTTACCGACACCCGCGAAGATTTGGAAGGAAATATCAAATACGAAGAATTTATTGAAAAGATCATGTCCGGACCTTACCCAGAGAAATAAGCGACAGAATTTTACAAATCCGGAACTTATCTGAAAAAAGTGCAAATAACTATCACCGAAGTAGTTCGCTGGTTCAATAAAAATGTGCATTCTTATACCTTGGCACCATCAGGAAACTAGGATTTAAAAAAATAAAAACATTAAAGGATTATTAACAAGGAAGATAAGATTCACAGGAAATCTAAAAATATGGTGTTTGAGATGTGACGTACTTTTAATTCAGTGTGTTATTTATTTGAACAGTTATTAATGCGTTATTTATTTAATGCGTTATTAATTTGATGCGTAATTTATTGAATACCTTATTTATTTAATTATTTTATTATCTGAAGAAACATATCACAATGTATCGGGGCAAATCAAACAGTAATTCTTCAGACTCTGTTGTGATAAAATAATAGCAGCCCACGATGAGGTAAATTAAAATGAATTGTTTTATATTCCACAGAAATGATTATTATTATAATATTATTCCTATTAATAATAAAAGTTTAATATCTAATAACACTCTCTTTAATTGTGTTTTATTACCATTACATGAATATTATTGGGATTAAGAAACGCCTTCATTAGCCCAGTTCGGAGCAGAACAGTAGGACGTTAAACCCCATTTCATTTCATTAAGAAACGTTAAAGAGACTAAACCGCTATTCTTTGGCACCTAGAATTTGACACAAATGGGTCACAACGCATATAATATTGTAATATGAATCTACATAAACTGATTTACATTCAATCGTGTCTGTTTTTCCTGTAATTTCTAATCAGTTATGTTCGGCGAAATACTCCAGAAGTCTCAATCGAATGGCAAACTCTAGCGTCTGGTTATTCCAGTCTACATCGAAAGTATTTATTGCGCATGCTCTCCAGATAAGAAGGTCCATCCCTGCTTCAAGCATCGTGTTTTCTCTCCAAGGCTTGTGCGTGTTAAAGAGTGGGGTCGCCTACTGGGAATTTTTACCTCTCGGTTTTCCTTCGAAAAGCGTAATGACCTGTCTGCCGGGCAATGGTAGGAACACCTGACACCACTCCTTAGTTCATAACGTGGTTGTACTAATTTTATTAAATTGAGACTATGGAAAAACAACTAGTAGATTTTTTATGCATCGTCTGTTCCCTCTCTCACGGCGATTGGACTGACAATTAACGTTTCCTTAGCCGTTGTTGGTCAGTTGCTCAGAAAAGATCCATTGACATTAAGCTAGGGAAGGGATAGGGGTAGCTATTTTTATTTTCTTCATTTAGCACTGTACCATGATTTTCTCCGGGTCCTCCGGTTTTATCCCACTGCTAAAGACCCCTACGCGCAAGCAAATTATTGAAATAAAATTGAACCATGGGGTTAATCCTGGAATGACCTAGTTTGTGTCGAGTGGACGTTAACATATTTCTGATAGGTATAGACTATGTATAAATCCCAGTTCTAGGTCAGTGTTCCAATTACATCAAATAAAGATTTTACCTTTACCACAATAAAGCACGTGATGACACCTTTCTACTTTCATTTTATCAAGTAAAGGTAAAACACGGAAGTGTAATTTATTGGCTGTAAATTGTTGGCCATAAATCAGTCGCGAAAAACGAACGACATTTTTTTTATCAATTTGCGGACAATAATTATCTCGGGTGGCCCAGAAAAAAAAACGAGAACACTATTAAAAGTGGATACGTCAAAAGTACTGTATCAATATCAATATGGTTGGTGACAACTTCACTCCAAGTTGCAGGTCTACCAGTTTGATAAAAGAGAGAGAGAGAGAGAGAGAGAGATTAACATCCAATTGAAACAACAAGGTAATTTCGGGACTAACATATGGTTCAATTTTATTCCAATAATTCACCTGCGCGTAGGGGACTTTAGCATTGGGAGGAAACCGGAAGACCCGGAGAAAACCCACGAGGTTGGACAGGCGACCATACTCCTTGTCACGTACGGATTATTTAACATTCAGTTAAGCAAACAAAACCAATTTGGTAGATAATATGGTTCAATTGTATTCCAATAATTCACCTGCCCGTAGCAGTCTTTAGCAGTGGGAGGAAACCGGGGGACTTGGAGAAAACCCACGAGGTTGGACAGGCGACCCTACTATTTGTCGCGTACAACCGGGAAATCGAAACCATGCTAGTTGACTTAATGGCAGACCTTATGATACAGCGCGCACGTGCTAACCATTCGGCCATCCAACCCCCGTGCCAATTTGGATTCAATCGGATTAAAAAAGGCTCATCAAAAATTTTAACGAAGATTATATAGGTGACGTTGGTTGGTTTTTACGGTGGATGCCGAATGTTGACAAATATTTTAAAGGATCAATATTTTGGAAATACTGAACGGAATTGAACAGTTTTTGGGTGGATATATATTTCAGACATCCAACCTTCACAATGTCATATAGAAGTACGATTAAATGTCTACAACAACAAAAAAACAACATCATAACGTATACTGCCAAGAGTTCTTTTAAGTGCACCCCAATGTGTAGAAGAGGTCTCGTTTTTCGTCCAATCCGAACTACTATACGTTGTCCCTTGCCAGGCAGCCTGACAAGGAGGAACTACGTCGGAAAATCCCGATGAACTTCCTCGGTCAACACGTGACACGGGACCCCAAGGTCAGCAAGCCAAGATCTTACTCATTGAGTCACCGTGGCTCGACCCATTACATGACAGAGAAGTAAATTTTTGTTGTAAATATTGTTGTAATCATTAAGTGTATGCAGAGTTGACCAGCTATTTTCCAAATTTGCAAAGTCGGAGAAGTCTCTATAGAAATTACACTTTCAAAATATTTTGACTGACAATGAACTGTTAGTAACTTGAGAGAAGGCTCGTGCCACCGCCTTGGCTAACTTCTTTCCCGTGTTAAGTCGTCGTCTCTTAAATTGAAAATGAAATAAAATAGGCTTTAACCTCCCATTATTCTGTACTAACAGATCTAATGAAGAAGGTCCTACGCCATGCGGTGGGCTATGGGGGCAGTTTTGCCCGGGCAGTGGCACTACAGCTTACTCTTTTTAGGAATTTCAACTTTCAGGGGTCTTTCGTCCAATCCGAACGACGAAATGCTGTTCCTTGCCAGGCCATCTGACAATGGTGGCGGGCGAGGGGGGACGGAAAATCTCTGGCTAACGAGTAAGCTCACTCGTCGTCCCTCTTTAGAAATGAACCCAAATGCACACGCCTTTCATAGTACTGGCATGATCCTATTTCATAAAGGTATTCGAACAATCAAAAATGAATAAGCTTCCCGAAACATTGTTCTGGTGCAGAACGGAGGGCCTGACAAGGACAGCTGTCTAGTCCTTCGGAGGTCCCGTGTATACATTAGAATGCACGTAAAAGATCCCTTGGCAGTTGGAATTCGATATAAGAGTAGGCGATAGTGCCGCTGCCCGGGCAAAATTTCCCTCATAGCACACTGTATAGGAGCAAAACAGTAGGACGTTAAACCCCATTTCATTTCAGACGCCATTACACAACACGAAAGGCGCAATGCATATGCCAGTCTCAAAAGCGTCATTTGAATCACTTTCCTCGAAAGCCGCGCTTTTCCAGCAGAGACCGAAAGTAGCATCTTTGAACCGTTTCTGTGGGTATATAATTTTGTCCAATCACACACGAAAATAGAAATATAAGAACTGTTAATTGGTAATAAATATTTATTATATAAAATTACATAGGAATATTATAATTAATAATATACAAAGTACTGGAAACCTATCAAAATTAAGTGTTTAGTTTATTTCAGTTTGTTTAACTTAACTTGGTTAAGTCAGCAATATTTTAGAATTAGATATTATAGTTTATAAATAGATAATAAAAAATATGCAAAATGTCAGTCGAATTACTCTATTATGAGTGAATTTACGAGTGTCCGAGGGTTTGACCATATAGCCATTGCTACGAAAATAAACAAAGTCTCGATAATCCATTTTTACATTAAATTATTAAATGTCGATTCTGTTTTAATCAATTCAAAATCACAACGTAGTTAATAGATTAGATAACATTTAAGCCAAACAATACGGAAAGACATGCAATAGGCAGATTTACCACTGTTTGTCGTGAATTTTGTACACGGTGGACAGTCCATTTGCTGATTACATCATTTTACCTATTCCGTTTCTTTAGGACTTCGAATTGTGTCTAATGGTTTGGATTGTTCGTACTTGGTTTTATTTTATTTATAATGCATAATCAATTCTGTAATATTTGTTAATCGAAGTATTTCAAATTCTCCAGGTATAATTATATAAGTATATAATACATTAAAATAAATAGTTCTGTGGATAACAATTACTGCATTTAATACACGAACATGTGGAATATGGAAACTTAACCAAATTTAATATTTAGTTCATTTCCGTTTAACTCAACTTTATAAATAAGTCTGTAGTAGATGGTTGTAATATCACTTGTAAACAATGGTATTTAGAGATTCCAGCGTTTTATCATAAAGTAGACTGGTGGCACCAAAACTCCAGGTGGTTTCAAATCATTCTGTTAGTTCAAACCTCTCATCCGATTATAATTTTATATAATTTAATAAATAACATATTGAATTAAATTGTATCTCATTGTGTATAATCCCAAATTAGAATCCAAGTTGGCATGCTATTCCCAAAGTTCACATCATGTTCTAACATTAATAATCCTTTTAAGTTGTGTTTTTGGGGCTCGGTTTGTTGACTGATCCATGTTGACCCGATCTTCTTAGGGCAGAACACAATTTCTATGGGAAACAATCACTGGTTTTATTCTAAGCGCACGACGATTCAACAAGTATCCTCTTAGTGTGCTTGATAGCGATAACAGGATACTTGTCGAAACGTTGTCCTCTTAGAATAAAACCAGTGATTGTTGTCCCATAGATATTGTATTCTGTTAAACTGTTTCCAATTACTAAAATATCACTTAAAGATCATCGTCTTGGGAGTCAGAAGCTAACATTTTCACTCACTTCAGTTATTTGCGTATCGGATAAATTAAGGGTTGCT